AACCCAAAATTAACGAAAACAATTCTAATAGCAAGACCATTCTATCATTCCACATCACAATTCTTAAAAGAGCTACTATACTTTTATCACCGTGTGATTCGGCTCAATTATTTTACTTCCCTAGCATTTACAATTATGCTCATAGGCCCCACTATGATTTGGGATCAAAGTGAAACTGCTATATTTATTATCCAAAGGTGATGAAATGAGTGTTTCACTCGCCAAAACTTCTTGTGGGCTTTTTTCCCATGATTTTATCATTTTACTTCCCTAGAATATAAAACATTCTTCCACCATTATGATGTATTTGTGACAATTGTTGGAGATGGTAGAAAATAGAGGAAGGAACTACAAGTCTTTCCAATGGCAACTCGAGGCAAAAGCATATTGATTCATTCCAATTGCCAAATGCAAAATAGATCCACTTCAAAAAATCCTTCACACCCATTTCAATATCTCACTTTAACTAGCTCATTTTTTGAGTGTAAATTTGTTAGAGCAAATTATTACAAATTAAGACCATGCAATCAATGTCACTTTGAAGCACATTTATTGCCCAAAAAGGAAAACAAATCAACTTTTTGTTTTGACTGAACCATAGATTTCTCATTGCTGGTTCAAAANTTTTTTTCTAATTTCAAATTTAAAATCTTCCCCACTTGATGTTGCTGTTTTCATTTCTCTGATATTACTATTTTCTCATTATAAAGGGCATACCTAATGCACGAAACTCCCCGCTGCAGGGTGTGGGGAAGGGTATAGGTGACATTGTTAAGATCAACCAACGGGTATTGCATTTACGTAAATTTCAGGAATCTACATTATCCAGATGCAAATATATGTTTGAGCAACATATTTTTGATGCACTTTTCAACATATTTTTAGAAATATTGAATATTCAATGTCAAGGATAAGCCAGTTTTCTATTTTGCTTAAGGATATTAGGAAGAAACTAAATCTGATTATAGATAAAAGCATAACAACTAGAATTAAAGATACGAAAAAACGGGGTTTTGATTAGCATTTCAACGAGTATACAAGGGGATTGCTTGTCAAGATTTGGCATATAAATTTGGATTTTTGATAATTGTAATTGAGTTTTAATTTTAGCATGACAACATAACCGAGAATGTTCATGCAAGACTCAAAGGAGGAGAGTTGCATTAAGTAGCTTGACAACCAACATAAAACTCGTCTGACCAACTATGAACATAAATAGCATTAGAATAAAATGACTGTGATCAGTATGAGGATCTACCATCATAGAATGATGGTTCATGCAAGACTCAAAGGAGGAGAGCAAGCAAAAGAAACCTTCAAACAATAGCAAGCATGAATAATATATTCTTGTTGAGTCATTGAGGAAGAAACTTGTACCAACATTTTCTAATTAAACTCAATTGAGAGACTCAGACTTGGTGCAATAATCATGAATGGTTGAAGGTAAGAAACCTTGGCCTGGTCCATCCCTAGAGGTTACAATCAACCATGGATTCCAACAGGCTGTAAATCTGGACTCTGGGCTTCCTCTTGCTTTGTAAATGGGGCTAATAATCAAGCCGAGCTTGTAAAGGGGTCCTCTTCATGTATCAAAGTGAGGACTTTGTTTCCACCATCTTGTCAACAGAGAGTCGCTTGCTTTTTACTGAGCTTATTCCTGCTTGTTCAAGCATATATCTGGATCTAAGGTTGGCAAAGATTGAACAGTGTACAATTTGCAATTTATCCAAATAATAATTATGCAATTTGCTCTTTTCTCTGCTCCTGCTCCTTTTTTTTTTTTTCAAGCTCGTTTGGAAAGTTCTAATACTTGGCAAATATGACATCTCGTTGAATCGGTTGAAGCTTGTATTGCTTTACTAATCTAATAGATCATAAGTAAAGGGACTCTATTATGATCTTACGAATTTAAAGATCTAAAAATGGAAGAACAAGCTCTTTTGCTCGCCCCTCTCTCTAAAGGAGCGTAAGCACTACTTTGGTTTCATTCCTTTTGCTCTTAAGTACACACCTTACTCTGTTTCAAAGAGTAGTTTTTCAAGGAGCTTCATAGCACCTATTTTAGAGTTTTACTTGGATGTCTGTAGTGGCCATATCCATCTGTAACATCTGAATGCAACCTTTGAGAGGAGCCAAAAAAACGTGGATATGATTACAATTGATATGATTTTCTCCCCTCATTTTTTGGAGGGCGGTAGCTGAAATTTATGAACTGTCTTTTTAAATGCATCTGAGGACACTTGTAACTGGTAAGTAACTGATGGGATTTGAACTTTGTTTCAGCTGTGACCATTGATATCTAAGAGGGAAAAGGAATATCTGCTTGTTAGCTTTTTGCCTTCAATTCTCAAAGCCAAGGTTCATGTCTGATCTTAACATTCAGATTCCTAGTGCCTTCGGTATGTTCATTTTAGTTTTACAAATTGCATATATATTTCAATCTTTGTTTTGAAGACAAATGATTGTCTCTCTTTCGATCTCTATTGAACATGCATCACATGAAATGATGAGTGAGTTGAAATAATGTTTATATCACTTAAGACACTACATATATATATATATAAATTGAAAGTATCTTATAATACACGATATTTACGAAATACGATACATTATTTTGAAAAACGACACACCTTCCGATACACGTTTTGACAACTTTAATAAGTAGTAACCCTTAATATCTTACAAGATCCAATCGACCTTAACTGGCTGCCCTAGCATTTTATCTACTTGGTTTCTTCAACATGTAGAGTTGATATGTTTCTTACCCTTCATCTCTTTGAGAAAGAAAAGAAGTGGGGGTGTTTTGGTGTGGGATGATGAGTGTGTGCAAATCCTAACCTTCCTTCAATGATGGCCATTAACATGTACCATCAATTGGGCAAGCTGTGGTTAGTTCTTGCCGAATTTTAGAGTATTTTGTTCTTGATTAGCAATGTGATTGTTGGTGTATTTCGTACCTTGTACATGTGATCAGACCTATTCGCTGAGGCAAATGCTGGGGACTCAGGTGCTGGTACAAAGGAGTATGTGCATATCCGTGTACAACAACGTAATGGTAGGAAATGTCTGACCACTGTCCAAGGGCTGAAGAAGGAATTCAGCTACAATAAAATTCTCAAAGACCTTAAGAAGGAGTTTTGCTGCAACGGCACTGTTGTCCAGGACCTAGAACTGGGCCAGGTAACCATTTGAATATAGGGTAAATCCTATTTGGCCCTCTAAAAGATACAAAAATTCTCAGTTTGTATCCAAAATGATTAATTTTCTCACATTGTCCCTCAACGAATAAAAAAAAATGTTGCAATGTGATCTACCGTCTTATTTCTGTTTGGTCATCCGTCTGTTTTGTGATACCTTACCACACATGCCTTTTTCATACTATTATGTTGGATTATGTCTCTAATCTTCTTGAGGATTGTTCTATTTGATGCAGGTTATCCAACTTCAAGGTGATCAGCGGAAGAATGTGTCAACCTTCCTTGTTCAGGTAATTATACGAACGACATTCTACTTGATGTAAGTTTTTCCTATTGGTTCTAGTTAGTGGTGGAACCGCCCCTAAATATTGGATGTTCTTCATTTATGTCATTTTTTTATCATAATTTTGTTCAATTTATCATGTGTTGCCCCCTCCAATTTTTTTTTAAAAATATAAATTTAGTTATATTTTTTATTCAAATTTTGTTTAAGCTAAATAAAAATTAGTTTGGTTGTTTCATATATTAATTTAGTCTTGAATTTTAATATTTTTTTTTCGTGTTTAAACTTAAAAATTTTCTTTATATTAGCTGGTGAATTTCTTTATATTATATTTTTTTTCGTAGTCACATTTGTGACTCCGCCCCTGGTTCTAGTCATAAAATCTGTACCCTTTGTGGTTTTACCAGGCTGGCATTGTGAAGAGGGAACACATCAAGATACATGGCTTTTAAAATCCTTTGGCAGTGTACTAGTTTCCCCCCCGATTGCAACTTCTGTGTTGTATGCTTGTGATGTAAATTACATTGGCCTGTGGATGTAAAACTATTGCATGAATACTCAATCCCATGCAAAACTTTTACGCTCATCGTTTGTTGATGTTATTTATCCCTATGTGTAAGTGCCTAAATATATTGAGCGAGATTATTCTCATCTTACAAATATTCATTTACACTCCATTTAATTTTGGGTAAATTGCACCAATGGTTTTTTTTGGAAAAATTCTCTGTTAAGAATGCTTGGGAGAGTATTCGTCCTTATCCCTCTACGGTTGGCTGGTATCAGATAGTTTGGCACAAAAAGACTATTCCGCGTTATG